GTACGGATCAGAATTCACTCAGGAATTGCTGCCTGGTGACTGTAGAGGAATTCGACAAAAACGGAGCGATCACAATTTTTGATGAGAGTAAAGCTGGGTTGGGCGGGTAGGAGTAGGTGACATATTAGAATCATGATTTTCACTAACAAGACTCCTTTAACTATGTATGTTTCAGGTTTTACCAAGTTCGTGGTGGTCCACAGTTACCTGATCACAACACTGTTCAGAGATATAACAATCAGGAAAATGCCAAAAACTGTTCGAAGAGCTCTATTTCAACGGGGTTGCTCAAGCGAGAAAATAGCCTGTTTGTATTATTGTTTGTTTTGGAACAACAGCAACATGTAGTGATGAGCTTACCAACCCATATGGATTGATCGGTTGCGCATGCATAAGCAGTGCAGCTTTGCTAGGCCATTATCCGTTTTATAGTGACTATAGAATGAGATTCTACTCTAATGTACCCTTTCTCTAGCTTCCCTTTCGCTTAACCCAATCCTTTCATTCTAAGTGAACTTCTCTCAAGCATGTCTAGTGATCCTGCCGTGTGGTGGCAAGGTTTGTGTTTCTAATTTGTGTGGCGGCCTAATAAAAAGTTTTAAAAGTTTTTTTTAAAGAAAGGAAAGGACAATGGCAAATGTGGATCACACGAACATGGGGAAGATCACGACGAATACCGGGTGCCTGGCAGATTCACAGCAGTCGCCAACAGCTGGCGAGAATCTGCATCAAAATGGCAAAAAATACATATTAATGAAAGAGATTTGGTAGGTTTCGAAAATGTCGATCCGCTGAATTCCTTCCAGTACGTCCGAAAACGTGCATCTTTGTCGCCCTTGTAAGGAGCGTTTCGGCGCGCCCCTTTCTTGCGTTTCACTGGCTCGATGGACGTACCCTAGGAAACCTCTGTATAGTATAGTGCCCCACCGTCAAAATTCAGTTCAGCACCTCCACCATGGAACTCATTTCGGTTTAATTTTCAAGGAACGCAGATCTGACACGAATTCCAGCCACATGGTTTGGTGTCAGCAATTTAGAGTTATTGGGGAGGAATTTATCAGCGTGACCACTGTATGTACACATAGCCCGCAATTCGAATCCTTTTCTTTTTACTGCACTAAACGTGTGAATGAAAAGGCTGCTAGAACTGAAGGCAAATCGGTCCGAATGAAAAGATAAGTGGGTAAATCGAAACAATCGAGTCTGAAAGGTTTTTAACTTCTCCTGCAGGAAGATTGAATGAGTGTGTTTTTGCATTACCACTACTAATCGTTTCATCGAAATCCTACTATTATATGTCAGATAATCTTTACGCATTGGACATTGCAGAATTATTTTGTGACATTCATGTTTTTGTTCATTTACAATACAAAATCTGAGGTGAGGCGGCGGCGCCCACAAAATCGCGTTCCGTCCCACGCGACCGAAAAGTGGAAAAAGGGCGCCGTTGTGAATGGGTTAAATGGAAACTGCTTGAAGGCTTGGTTCATGATGTTCGTTACGGCGATGTGGGGAGGGAAGGCGTCCTGCAGAAGGATCGGAGCGAACAGGCGCTCGTTTCTTCACCTTCACCGGCTTCGGCAGAGCGCCCTAGAAAACCTTCATATACAGTGTGTTTCGAAAGTTTAGGTTCACTTCATTTTTCGTAGATATCCTCAGGAGAAGTCCACGCTTTTCGGTTGACTGAGAGCTTTGTCCTGCTTTCAGCATCTTTGAAAAAATCTATCAGCAGAATGTCATCAGCCCTTCAAATCCACTAGTCTTTGCAAAAATTTGAACCGCGGATAATTCGCACGGTAGCGGCCCTGCTTCCCTCCCATACATCTGAGACCAGTTTTTTTTTCTCATGAAAAAGGATGTGTGGAGGATAAAAACGAGGTCGTAAGGAGGCGGCCATTTCCTCCACACGATTTTCACCCTGCTCTGAGAGGTGGAGCTTTCATTACGCTGTGTTCAACTACATTGAAGGCATGCCCCAGGATCACATTGGTGTGGCTCTTGCACACGAATGCGAATGTATTGGTGCGAAATGGGCCGGCAGTAAGAAAAAAGGAAAAGAATCCGTCGAAAACGCTTAGGTTAAGGGCTCACTCACCTTCCTAATCGGCTGTGCTAAGGGAATGAGAGACTAAGCGCGGAGAGGAGAGTATGGGGCGCTACAGATGAGAGATCGCCAGACAACAGCCTGATAAGAGAAAAAACTGCAGCTTGGCAGCTTACTTTGCAAGGCCCAAGCGCTCTTGTCGGTTGGTTTCCGTGCACGAGAACGCCACATTTGTGATTGTCCTCTAGGGGTCTATACTACAGACCGAAGGAGAAGCGTTCACACGATCTCTGCCTGGGTTGTGCCTTTAAGGTTGTGCAACGATGCAAGAATGTGTCTGAAATCATTTGTGACTGCGGGCTTAAATCACCTACCTACATGGCCTGGCCTTTTTATTGAGGAGTACATGTGTGGGCGCAATAACGGTTGAGGTGATCCGCAGTGATCATCTCATTACAAAATGCTGAGGCGATGAAGGCACTTTCGTTGGACGAAACGGAACCCAATCTGGACTGGACCAAAAGCGTAATAAGTTCCAAGGACGATTTGAGAAAGAACCCACGCTTCTTCCGCATGAGCGGATTTGCTGACGGCCGTGGTATGGTTGGCTTGCCTTCTCTGGCTACAATAAGGGTCGAATCGTGTCCGCCACGAGTCTCATCAATTCCGTTGCTCATTATTATATAACCAGGTTTGCTCCGCCCGCTATCGCGCGCATCACAGGGTAGGGAGGAACCACGGAATAGCAGCATGACGTACTCCATTAACCACCTCACTATTGAATGTGTTATACCTCCTTATACCCCTTCTCTCCGGCGCATGGCAGCGCCATGTTCTCTCCCTTTCTCCTCTCCCCCTTCCCTCCCTCTTTCTCTCTCCCCCCTCCCCTCCCTCCAGCCTCCCCTTTCTTGCCCCCTTCCCTCTACCCCTCCCCTCCCCCCCGCTCATCCGGCTGCCACGGCAGCACCATGTAGAATGAGACTGAGTGTGCTCGATCGGTGTTTATATAGCCGCTGTGGGTTTATCATGATCATGACATCAACATCACGAAGTGTTGCCCTTCGTACTCCCTGGTTTTGTGAGCGGTCGGTCCGGACGGACAGAACGACACACGCACACACACACACCGACAAACCGACACACCAAAGTTCTGGTTTATATAATGAAGTGATTAGTCCCCGTCGTCAACTCTTGTCGGGACCTTCCTTCACTGCTTCAACTTTACGTCTTTCACTGTGGCCGCCCCATCAGCACCTCGCGTAGGTGACGCTAAAGCTACAGAAAAGAAGTAATGGAGTTTATCGCAAGTTTATAGATCATAAGTCAGACGTTACGTAGATTTTTCGCCTCCCATCCCTATCCTCCCTTCCTCCCCTCTCTCCACTGCCCTCCACCTGCCACTGTAGCACCATGCGGAATGACCGGAAGTGTTTTCATCAGGTGTTTATGTAGCCCGAGGAGTGTTATCACAATTATCATATTGCAAAACAATGATAGCTGAAGCCCTGCGAGCTACCCAGATTTGTTATCGGCTTGTTTATTCCGTTAGCTGCCTTATCACTCACTCACTTCATTTTGCGGACGGACACACATACATACACACACATACAGACATACAAACCGACACACAAAGTTAGCGCTTTATAAAATAGAAGGATGATGTGAAAGTGATAGGACGTTCCCCGAGACGAGCTACTGCTATGAACAAGTTATTCTCTTTGGCGCTTCAAATTTTAGCAAAATAACGTCACCCTCACGCGAGTGTCTCAACAATGGCGCGGTTTGAAAAGAAAAGTTATCATCTTTTTATCTCATCAAACTCAAATTTAATCAGGACTCTCTGACAAACCCTCGTTCTTGGCTTTAAACCCACTACGGGCAGTTCGACAAAATGGAAAAATCGAAAAATCCCATACAAAAGGTTCGGGAGCGAGTATCACTCCAAATAACCTCCCATCTTGGTTTGATAGCATCAGAACGGATGACTGATACCATTTGAAGAAGAGGGAATGTTGCAAGGTTTCATTTGTCATTGTTGTTGCAAATTTCGCTAAGTATATAGATAAGAAGGTGTGTACAACGAAGTGAACCCAGTATACATTTGGGTCACCATGTTTTTCGAAAAAAAAACATTAAAAAAAATCTGCGTTTTCTTTTCAATGTCATTACAATATATCAACGCTACTTCCCCAATGTATAGCTGGTGGGAATTTGGAAAGAAATCGTTCATGTGTTCCAGTAGATATCGATAACAAATGGGCACTGCGTTTCATAATTATAGGTCCACCCTAAATTTTTGCTACCCAAAGTTGCTGTGCATTTTTTGGAAATGCTGCTATCACCATTAGATTCCTCATCACGGAAAACCTTCATAGTGTTTTTCTGACAAAGTTCCCCCCTCAAGTAACCCAATTAACTTTTTCAGAACGAATTTTCACCGTTTCATGAATATCGGGCCACTCATAAAAAGTTTCCATTTCTCACGATCCGTGAAGGGAATCAGGGAAGCGGGGATATATGTGAGCTCAGTCGACATCGAGTTTACCATACCTCGTGTTATTCGCCTCTCTTCCCAGTAACAAGCTCAAGCCAGAGCACTTACTGAAGTGGGATGGCTGAGGAGCAGAATTTCCTCCCATGTCGGCCGGCTCATACTGCATAAGCGACTATGTGCAAAATCCTGGTCAGTGCGGAGAGAAGAGTCGCTTAGGTAAATAAAGACTGCGTTTCCTTCAAAATTTAGGAGGAATTGGGCGTCTTCTCTCGAATTGTACAAGGAGTCCGAACAAAGTCCGTGCTGAAATGCGGCCTTCCGTGAGCAAAACCACCGTGTGGTGAGTAAGCCAGCAGAGCAATACATCTTCAGCGGATTGATGAAGAGCGTTCCAAGATTATTTGAGCGCTACAAGATCGCACGTCTCCATTTCTCCGTGGAAAAGGGCTCAACTTAATGAACGAAGGTGTGGCTGTTCAAGACCCTTCGCGATCTTGGACTCTACCTCCTTGTTTCGTGCTACAGGTGATCTGAGATCGACGTGAAAAAGTTTATTCTAGGTGGATCTGATAGAAAAAGAGGGTACAGGAGGATCCGTGAAAATCGCAGATGGTTTTGAATGTAACGTAATTTTGGCGGAGAATCCCTTATGGTTTGAGGCACCTTTGAACGACTGAGCGGCTAGAGCTCGCTTTTGTTTCCTTTCACAGGATTCCATAGGGTATCGTGAAGTTCTTTTGAAGCGACTTTACCATTTTTTCGACAACAGATCCCTCGATCCTTGATTTTTACGCACGATAACGCGGCTGTCCATGCCGGTCCTTCCACGCCAGATGGAATTGCAGGAAAAAATGTGGCAGTTATCTGGTGGCCACCATGTTATCTGAATCAGATTCCAATAGAGAATCATTGGGCCTTAATTGTTATAAAGTTCCACAGCAAAGTAAAGCAAAATGGAACAGCCGAAGAAGCTGAAAACGTCGATCATCGGCGCACAGACAAATTTCGATCCTACTGTAATAGCTAATTTGGCTACCAGCATTCCAAAACGTATTATTGTGTTCCTTATGACTATGGAGGACCATCCCATTATTGAAAATTTGTGACGTTTTTTTGCTATAATAAAATCTCTCGACAAGTGATGTGTAGTCATATTTGCGAAACGGTGAAAATACGTTCTAAAAAAGATATTTTAATAATTCTGAATCGAGATTTCTCCAGAAATCGAG